AATGCAGGCCATACATGGTTCGAATTCTGAACGATTTTTCATCTGAAAATCGAAAACGTCGTTCGCTCAGTAATCCGATGGTGCCATCTGTGATTTCAAAAATCGGCCGACCAAGTCATAAAGTTCACCCCATATAACAGGTGAAACTTCTGTTCCTTACAGGTCACGGCTCATGCGCATATTCTTTTCAGAAAACGATCGTACGATTTGACCATCATTGAGTTGAAAATAGGTAGTTTTTCACAAATTTTCCTACATGCCCGATCACCGAAAAGGGGAGGAACCACGAAAAATCGGCCGGTGCCATTGACCCACTAACAGCAAAAATCGGCAGATTTTCGACACTTACGGCCGGCATAATATGCCCTTTTTATGCTCATGTTACTGACCTGTTGCTAATTAACCTAATTAGTAGCAAAATGCTCTTCCTTGTTAGTACCAGCTTTTTGTTGCCCTGTCCTAACTTTTCTGAGATGGGTTGCTGCCATCAGTTTCAAAATTACCTTATTTTTTTCATAAAAAGGTATATTTTCTCAGTTTAAACATTTGGCATGTTTTCTATTTTCTATTGTGAATAAAATATGGGTTTATGAGATTTGAAAATCATTGCACTCTGTTTTTATGTAGATTTTATACAAAAACTTTTTTGAGATTGGGGTTGTATAAAAACCAACAAATATTCCTGATGGACAATGAAAGTTCTACTTCCAGGTCAAACTTTACCTAGCACATGCTTATTAGAAGTTTGATTTTCCCCAAATAGAGATCACATTCACTGTTAGAATTTTGTTTATTCAGATTAGAAACAAGAAACATTTTTCATCTGTCACCTTCAGATTCCAATCATTCATTAGAAAATCATTTTTTAAACAAAATTCTAACTGTGTGTTTGGGACTTTCACAGGTTTTGAGATCATTCTACAAACATTTCTTATACACTGCAGAGCGCCCTACTGTTTTATTATCAGCTATTTAAGGATGGGGAGAGGCCGACAATTGTAAGAAGAGGGTCACTGAACAAGAGGTCAGCTGCATAGGGAAATAGCTTTGCCCCACAATCACACCCTTATCTCAGTTATTTATTTATTATTTATTTAATTCAGGTACCTGTATAGCGCTGTCAATTTACACAGCGCTTTACATATATATATATTGTACATTCACATGAGTTCCTAACCCTCAAGGGGCGTACGATTGTAAGGTCCCTAACTCACATTCATATATACATATACTAGGGCCAATTTAGACAGGAGCCAATTCACCTACCAGCATGTCTTTGGAGTGTAGGAGGAAACCGGAGTACCCAGAGGAAACCCACGCAGGCACAGGGAGAACATGCAAACTCCAGGCAGGTGGTGCCGTGGCTGGGATTCAAACCAATGACCCGAATACTGTCAGTGCTAACCATTTAGCCACTGTTCTGCCCAGTTATCTGCACTTCCAATATCCTCCTAAAACCCTTTCAAATAATCCTGTCATTCATGACTCAAGTTGTTCTAAAGTGAATCAAAGATCCTGAGATGAGCTTTCCTTTACCTATCCAATACATTTGATAATCTTAATTCCTGTGGGGCAGTAATATTGAGCTCCCAATTACGTCTTGCATCTGTTTTATCAGAATACTTTACCAGAACAATGTGCAGAGACTAGGGACAATGGTCTTCCATAACAGTCTGGGTGATTTTTTTTTATATTAACTCAGGCAAATTATCCAATAATATTTCTAAACTGTTCATATCTTCCATCCCTACCTGTGCGTACCACACAAAAAGAAATTGCCACACTGCCCTAAATGGGAAAAGTGACAGTCTCTTTAAAGCCCACTCCTTTATCCACATACAGTACACTTACCTCCCCCCCAGCTCTCAATTACCAAATATTTAGGGTAAATTGACATCTCTGCAAAGAACCCAACCAACATCAACACCCCTACTTACCTTATCAGTGCTCCTTCACCGCTCCACAGCCATCTATAATACCTGGTACTAGGTATAGAGGAACATGCAAACTTCTCATCTGTGACACTGCTTGATTCTAGCAGCCAATTGCTAAGGCTGAGTACAGTCACATGAGTAGGGGAGTGACATCACGTTCCCTAGGGTTGCCACCTGGCTGGCATTTTAACAGGTTGGCCAGTAAAAAATTACACTTTTTGCCAATATTATTAACAGGAAGTAGACCATAAGACTGGTGTTTTTTTTTTTTTTTAAGAAAAGCTGGTAACCCTACCATACACTCCTGAGTCACCAACACCAGTCATCTCAGTGCCAGATGCACAAGAGGAAGTGGCAGCACAGGAGCACTGGTATAGTAAGTACAGAGGGGTCAGGAATGTGGGGCCGGGGGTTCTTTGCAGACACACCATCACCTTGCTAAAATATCTACAGGCGTACCTCGGTTTACAAATTTAATGCGTTCTGCGGGACATTTCGTATTGCGAAAAATTGGTAAACCGAAACGCGGTTTCCCATAGGAATGCATTGAAAACCAATTAATCCGTTCCAGAGGTCAGAAAAAAGTAAAAAAAAGTCTTCTGTTCAAAACTATTTATGAATTGCACTTTAAAGGCATAAATACTGTACAGGGACATGATTAAAAATTAATTTGTAAATGCATTGAAATCCAATTAATCCATTCCGGAGGTCAGAAAAAAAATTAAAAAAAAGTCTTATCTGTTCAAAACTCTTTAGAGAGTGCACTTTAAAGGCATAAATAATGTACAGGGACATGATTAAAATGTGTAAATGCATTGAAAACCAATTAATCTGTTCGTATTGCGAAAAAAAAATTGTAAACTGAGGCATTATTTTCAATGGATTTTCATTCATAAACCGAAAATTAAGTTAACCGAGGCATTCGTAAACCGAGGTTTGCCTGTATCTTTCTCCATTGCTCAGTTCTGATTGCGCTGTGATTTTTGGTTTATTGTATGCATAGTAGCATGTTACCGTGAGTCGCAATACATGTGCACTGGAGCTGCATTGTGTTAGTGCATTGGGATGTCATTCAAAATAATAGACATGTACCAAGCTAATGCACCAATTATGTGTTAGCATGCATCATCATAATGCACTGCATCTCAAAGGTGTGTTTAAATCCCTTCTTACAAAGAGGTAAACATGCAGTTGAAAGACATACTATAAATGGGGACTACTTTACCTGCCAAATAATTTTTATCAGTCCATCCAGTTCTGAGAATTGCACTGCTCAGTCATGCGGCCCTGACAGCTGTCAGCCCCATGCTATCCCAAGGAAGTCACCTCTTCTGTCCAAACTTGTTCCCTTAGCTCCAACGATGGATCTCAGCTACAGTTGGAAAACATGAAGCTTTTATTTCTTCATAGTGTTCAGCGTGGTTTCTCTGCGGCCTTGAGGCCATGTTTGTGGGGAGTTCCCTGGACCTGTCACGGCAGACTCATTTATCACTATTTTACAGAATATCAACACTTATTACGCAGCTGGATCAAATTCAGCGCTGGAGGGGCCTACAAGCTGAAAATACCTGTGACACCATGTTTTTTCCATAGTATGACTAAACGGTGAAGAGCGTCCCTGTGACACGCGTCCAAATATAAAGAAAATATCAACTGCGTCTACCACCACGTAAAATAAATGCGTATATGCTTTTATCCATAGGCTTGCAGCTTTTGTGTCGTGTGAGAATGCTTACCATGTCTGATAGAATCCACAACAAAGAAAACTGCAAAAAGTCTATGCTGGATCAAAAGGAAAGCTATTTAGAAAAATATGAGGTACAGAGTAAGAGTGACTGACACAAATGACACCCTTTGCAGTAAGCAAATCTTATAGGGTCATATTTCAGGCCCTGGAGGAAGACACAGAGGGTGTGCTGACAGCACTAGGGGCACCATTATTCATTTCAGGTACTTAAATAGCACCGTCAATTTACGCAGCACTTTACATATATATTGTACAGTCACATCAGTCCCTAACCCTCAAGGGGTGTACAATCTAAAGTCCCTAACTTACATTCATTCATACAAATACTAGGACCAATTTAGACAGGATCCAATTCACCTACCAGCATGTCTTTGGAGTATGGGAGGAAACCGGAGTACGCAGAGGAAACCCACACAGGCACAGGGAGAATATGCAAACTCCAGGCAGGTGGTGCCGTGGCTGGGATTTGAACCAACGACCCTAGTACTGCCAGGCGGAAGTGCTAACCATTTAGCCACTGTGCTGCATTATGCATTACAAACGCATATACAAAATAAAAATACATGAATGTGCTTCAACGAGCCTAGTTTACACCACTTGTGGTGCTGTCATATGCATTGAGAAAAAAAAAAAAAAAAAAAACGTACCGCATGCAGCATTTTTCTGCATGTAAACGTACAACGCATGCAAACACATGAATGCACAGCAGATACATAAAGAAAGCAAATGCAACTCAGTAAATAAAAGAACAACCTAATGTACTGCAATCACAACAAAAACACACCACAAATAACCATGTAAACCATGTAGAACTGCACACTGAATGTGAGGAATGCAGTGCAAATGAGTCCTACGGGCTCTTTCACACAGGTAGCCTGGGGGTTAAAAGCAGGTGGCTAAGCCTCAATTTTGCCAACCCACTGCTGGTGGCCTGAATGCTAACATTACAGCTAGACAGGGTTGTACACATGCCGCAGCTACAATGCTGTCCTTCTCAACCACAGCATTTAGAACTGGGGCTGCAGAGTTTCACAGGCATTATCACACAGTCCCCCAGTGCTAAATTGCTGTTTGCAATGAAAAAAAAAACCCCAAAAAGCAGAGGTACAAAAAATAGACCAAAAAAAAAAAAAGCAGTTGGCAGCAGTGCCCTCTGAATACCTGGCAGCGCATGCTCTACCGCCCTCTGAAAATTGAACCACCGTGGAACGCTTTTCAGAAGGCGAAAGCACTTGCACCTGTGTGAAAGAGACCGAAGAGTGTCAAAAGTTGTCCTTGAGAGAAATAAGTGCAGGTTCACACTTAGCCCTGGTTCATATATGTGGCCGTGTGGGCCACGTTTTACGCGGACACGAGAGCCTATTCATTTCAATGGACTCCCGTGCCCCGTGACACGCAGGGAAGAAGTCTCTGCACTTCTTCTGAAAACGCAGCCCACACGGGAACCTCGATTCCCAGTATGGTTGCGTTTTCCAGTGCGGGCGGCGTGCCATTAGAATTAATGGCACCCACCTGCGGGTCCACATTCCTCTGTGCGGGGGGTGTGGCTGCACGGATTTTCGTGCGGATCCGCAGCGGCACCACCTGCACATATGTGAACCAAGCCTTAGTCCGCATGCACACTGGACGTTTTTAGAGCTGCTGTTTTTGGCTTTTGATGTTTTTTTCTACAGCCAGTAAGCCCCCCAGCATGTTATCCTATGTGTCCATACACACATAGACTGTAATCAACGTTTTTTGGATGGAAAAAACCCAGAACTAGTGTGTTTCTAGAGGAGTTTTTTAGCTGTAAAAATGCTCTAACGCTGAAAAACGCGGCAAAACATGGTAAAAAAAAAAAACCTGTAAAACGCCACAAACTGGCTGTCTTGGATGTTTTTTCCAAAAAAATGCTAAAAAACCGCAAACATGGAAAAACACTGCTAAATGTGTCAAAAACGCCGCTAAACACTAATGCAAAAATGCTAAAAAAAAACGTTTTGAACGTGACTTTACACAGCTAATGTTACCAGCGTTATCAAAATGTCCAGCGAGCATGAGGACTAAGTAGTCCAATGCAATCATACATGAGAATTGCAATAACCGAGTCATTGACTGGCCGTAGAGAAAAGGATTTTAATAATATTCAATTACCAGTAAACAGCTTTTTAGAGATTAACCTTTTTTTTGTCCGCTGTTTCACTTTTACGTCACTGCACATATGTCCACGCTAGGAACGTTTAACTTTCAAGCTGAAAATCCAATTGAACTCTCAGTTTAAATCAGCTAAATACATTTCAGATGAATCAAAACAAAAAGCATTACATTTTCTTTTCTTTTCTAAAGCAGCCACAGGCTGAGTAGAAAAGCCTGTGTCCTGCCAGCATGCTACAGAGTGGTACCCTTGCCATTTGTGTGGAAGCAGTGGTCTCTGTGAAAAGGCCTGACACACCCCATGCTGAGCAATCAGCAGGGAGCACGAGCTTTGGCGACTACAGAGATATAGGTCTGACTCAGTAGCGGGCATCACAGAAGTCTGCAGAGTGACCACTGTTTCTGCACAAATAGCAAGGGTCCTACAGCATGCTGTCAGAGGACAAGCGTAGGCTGTTTTAGATGAACCCCTGCCTGCTGGGGGGAGGATCAGGGGGGTGCAGAGGAAAGGGGGCTACTGCAATGCAGAATGCATATTTTGCGTCTAACATGTAGGTGAACTTATCATTTAAAGCGCACCTCAGTGTTTGCATTTTTCACAGCTATATCCATTGTTTTGCACTGCAGCGTGTCACAGCGCACTGCACAAAAATACGCCTTACTTTTTTTTTATTTAGGCGCAAACAATGGAGCACCCTGATGTAAACTGAAGCCGTGGGACAAATTGCCTTGTTCTTGGGTTGGGACAGTATTGGGCAGTATGACTGAGCCCTGACACTGCTAGCTGACTGGTTGTTACACTGTCTCATCCATTTCAGCACTTTATTGGTCTCTGACCTGGAACAAGTATGAAAAGCAGGAAAGTCAGATGTCCTTATCTGCATACTTGTTCCATGTTAGGAGGGGGGCAGTAGGTGTATCCTGTTCAAGGTTTGCAGAGGATCAGCAGGACTTCTCAGTTTGATTTCAGCACAGTTGCAGGGTTTGCTGGGACAGAATTTGTAGCTCACTGATTGGATTAATTTTATTTCCTGGAATTGCCCTTTTGAAGAAAAAAAAAAATTGTACAGACTAAAGGCAGTAAAAAAAAAAAGTTAACGTGGTAAGAGATAACTTGTAAAAAATTACCTTTTAACGACTGAACAGAATGCATACTGCAGCAGAAGCAGCTAGTTACAGTTTAATGTTATAAACCGTAATGTCCAATGTCTTTTATATAGGGAAAAGGAGCTCAGACGCTGCAAATTTGCCTTTGGGCCTCTTCAGCATTCTGCAGTTAAAACTTTGATATACTGTCTCTAAAAAAGTATACTGAAAGCATAAAAAAATAAAATAAAGTGTACGGTATACTACACTGCAATAAAAAAATACAGCTGCACTATACAGCTTTTTACAAGTGTTTTTTTTTTTAGGCCTCATACACACAAGACGTTAAAAAACAAAAACTCTCCTAGAAGCCTTCCTATTGGCAGCCGCGTTTTTTGCAGAAAATATGCCTAATGCTTGTAAAAGTATCAACGCGTTTAGGCGTATTTGCCAGTATAAAGCGCTTGGGCATTAATTCATTTCATTGGCCAGAATAATAATTTATTCTGGCAACTGAATTGAAATGAATTAACGCTCAAGTGCTAAACGTGCCTAGCGTTAACACGAGTTTAGCCACGTCAAGCGGTTTTCCTGCCAAAACTGCAATAAAAAATACAGCTGCACTATACAGCTTTTTACAAGTGTTTTTTTTAGGCCTCATACACATAGGATGTTAAAAAAAAAAAAAAAAACTCTCCTAGAAGCCTTCCTATTGGCAGCGGCGTTTTTTTTCAGAAAAAACGCCTAATGCTTTTAAAAGTATCTAACGCTTTTACAAGTGTTTAGACGCACGCATTTGCAAGTATCAAGCGCTTGAGCGTTAATTCATTTAATTGCCCAGAATAATAATTCATTCTGGCAATTGAACTGAAATGAATTAACGGTCAAGTGCTAAACGTGCCTAGTGTTAACACGTGTTTAGCCGTGCCAAGCGTTTCCTGCCAAAATGCTGCTGCTCCTGGACGCGTTGGCCCTGGGTTTTTTTTCCTGCTGGTAAATGCTACTACTACTAAAAGCATCTAACTGCCCGGTTATACCCATTGCGATTTCAGGTGCGATTTGCTAATTGAAATCGCATCTAATGAATGTGAATGTCAATGTCTTAACATGTGCGATTTGTTGCAGAACAATTTCTATAGTAGTTCTTGCTTTACTTTTTCTGCAGTTTTGTTGCGATTTCACATACATAGAATAAAATGAAAATTGGACTGTAAATCGCAAGCAATCATTGAAAATCTTCAGAAGTAGCAATAGCAAAAAAGTCTTCAGAAATCGCACCTAAAATCACACTGAAATTGCACATAGATCGCGCGATTTTAAATCGCAGCGTTGTGACCGGTGACTATAAGTCTATGTGTGCATGGACACATGAACATGCACATGAAGGATCGTTCGGACGCCCCTAAAAGTAACTGCAAAAACGCTGTGTGTGAATTAGACCTTAGTGTTATTAATTTTTTGTTACTTCCATGGTTTCCTCTTCTGAAGACAATTAATCAGCCACGAACCTGCACGAGATGAACAGAACTTTTCACGTTGTATAGTTACAGTGTTCACTGTAACTGGCTGTCATGACAAACGTATAACTAAGGAGCACATGGATTGGTCCCAGAGTGGTGCAAGGTGATCAGAGCTTCCTAGTGACACCTCAGTCATGGTGGAGAAGGTTGAAGCACACATGAAAGCAGGGCCACTGATAAGGGGGTAAGACCTGCCCTCCTGTACGTGGCCCAGGCCCCATATGTTCAACAGGGGGGCCCAGAGCAGCAGGACTGGGCGCAGTTACTGGAACCAATTTCCCTGTTGCCCTCCCTGCATTTACAAATGATTCAGTTTATGAATGAACAGGGAGCCTCTGTATAGAGTGCATCCTGTTCATTTACTCTGCAGCTTGCACTGCAGAGAAAGGATTGAGGAATCTGTGTCCTCAATCTTTTTCTCAGCCTCAAAAGTGAGACGTTGGGTGTTTGTTTAGACTCCTGATATTTCACCAACCCCCACAGCTCTGTTCAAAAAAAAAAAGAAGAGGAATTAAAAAAAACAATTAAGGACTCATTCTCACAGGTATCCTGGTTGCATGAATAAGTGCTGCCTGTTAAGCTTGGTTCACTGTTCCTGTCAGACTGTATGGGGCCCCATGATAATGTAACAGCAGCCCTGCATGAAAGCATACAGAAAGCTGCACATTATATGTATGTAAAATGTCCTCATGCACAGGATTTCTAAGATCACAGAAACCCAAGATGGGTGGAGGAGAAGTGGTTCGATCGCACACTTGTACAGTAATTAGTATACAATGTAAAAAACAGATTACCACAAAATGTATGTGAAGGCACCTGTGAATGTGTTTTTGAACGTCTCAGCCACAATTCGCAAATCCTTCAGACTGAACTACTAAAATTAGAGAGTTAGCAATTCCTTAAGAAGATAACTGATTTCTTAAGCAAAAAGTTGCTGAAATTAATACAAAAATTTCTCATCTGACTTGACCCTAATAATATCAAACAGAAGCATAAATAAATGATTTTTTGAGACAAAAAAATGAGTACGTCACATATCGGATATCAAATTTAACAAGAAAGAAAAAGAAAATCTTTAAAAGGTGAGAGAATTCCATCTATTCTTCACAGTCTGACAGGAAAACCTCAGCTTAGATCATTTTGTAAACTTCAACAATATCACCATGACATGCAAATCCATCCACTTCAGTCCGGACACAAAGCACAGGTGTCTACCATTGTCAACTGATGGGTCTGACACTTTATATCTCACTCGCTTCAAAAGAGCTGCTAGAGAGCCGTCTGTCTCCAGCCTATCCATGTCTGACATGTCACTTGTACTGGTGGATAATGTCGGGTTGGTGCTCTTACTTTGTTCTGATCTCCAGGGTTCTAGTACAGAGAAGAAGTGTCTCTTCATATATCCTGATCTCTATTATAAAGACAAGCTGACATGACTTCTTCCCTGCATCGTGGTAATCCTGCAATACATAATCCTAAAGCTAGCCATACACAACTAGATTTCTCTTGTTCAGACCGCAGGCTGAACAAGAGAATATTAGAGGAAAAGTTCACCTTTGTGAACAGGTTACATGTCCCCACTCCCGAAGCTGCTGCCCGCTCCGCTGCATCTAGTGACAGCTAGCGGGGGATCCCCCCCCCCCCCCCCACTAGCTGTCACTATTTAAAAAAAAATGTACAGAAAATTTCACAGAATTCTGTAAATAGAAAAACTACAAGTACTGACAGCCTTTGCAGCTGTCGGCTTGTAGCTCTCAATGAACTACCATGGCACTGTTGAGTGCTCTGGTAGTTCATTCTCTCCTCCTGTCAGTGTATATCTGCTTGCCCGTATGGGGTATGAGC